ATTCGTATCGTGTATACAGGTATACGAAATAAAATAAAAATTGTTTTCTGTTAATCTTTGTAATATTATCTGTAAAACCAGTATAATAAGTCCTGATAATAGATGAAAGTCGAATTTATAGTCGAAAAATTTACATATTGTTAAGGAAAAAAGGACATTGAGGCAATTTAATTAATTAAACTAAACATTTTGATGGTTGTTTTAAAAAATATTTATAAGAATGTTGAAGAAAATAAATTTGTTTACGGGTATATTATTCATATACAATAAATACAAACAAACAATTATTTATTGTGACATCGTCAAATGTAGGGCTGCAAGTTTTAATCATATTTTAATTTAAAAAATCACGTAACTTCCGGTTTAGAGCTAAGTTCGTATATAGTTAATCGGTGCCTCCATCCCCTCCGTGTTCCATATCTGGTTTCTATTTTCATCTATCTAACTGTTCTCGAAGTTGTTTGTTTGTCAGTTGGGCATCAGCTTCTCTGGCTATTTCGCCCCGTGGAACGTGTAAGTTCATTGCCTAGTATTAGTAGTTGGATACGTTTACTACGGTGGACGTAAGCGTTGGAATAATGTCTTCTGCGAAGTCTTTTAAGGGAAACTGGCCTTATTCAGGCGTTACAGACGTGAAGAAAACCCGGAAATCCCCACGTGGCCAGCCAGTTCTGGTGAGGGGCGAACCCACAATCGAACCCACAGTGTTCAAGAAACGGAACCGCTCGGTCCTGGTAGATCTGCAGTTCGTTCGTAGATAGAAAGTTACGTAAGGGAGTTGAAGTTAATTGGATCAAAAGTAGTCGTTTAAAAAACCCATCCCTATACTCAAAATTTTTTTTTTTTTTAAATTTTAAAAAATTTCATATAAACCTATGCTTTAATGCTAAATCAATTTAATACCTCTTCATCTTCCCATAAGTTTCTTCCGCAATTCTTCTTTCTTCTTCCTGCACTTCCTGAACTGCCATTTTTAAGTGATCTCGAAAATGTTCTTGAGCTTCTTTCATTGCCAATCTCATTCGTTGCTCCGAAGAACATCTCTCTTCTTCCATTCTCACTTCTAATTCGTATCTTTTCTGAATTTCTACTTTTGCAACTTCTTCCTGTTTATAAACATTCAAACAATTAATCGATTATTACAATTATGTAAATAGTTGAAGCGAATTTCCGACATACTAGATTGAGTATCGACGATGTTTACGCTATACGTGTCAAGAGTTCTCAATCTATAATCCTATAATTTACTAAAATCATACAAATTTACATGATGTACGACACCGATCGATGTAGATTTAATGAACCGTATTTATTTTAATAAGATTAGTTATTTCTGTGTGGATAATGACTGATTTAAGTGGATGTTGCCGTGTTATTCTCTAAATATAATTTATTTAGATCATAACAGAACGAAGGAAAACACCAAGAATATGATAAACATAACAGTAACATTTGATAATAAGGAAGCTGTTCCAGCCCTGGAATCATTAGTAATACGATATTTTGGTGTGAGGTTGGTGCTGTGTAAAACGCATACGCGAATGCATATAATCTGGCTGCTTTACACGCTTCAAATATTTTCGCCGTGGAAGCTGTCCCGTATTCGACAGTACGGCGCTTCCATTGAGAATATTCATATACGAATTTATATTCGAATATAAAATAGCAATCTTATCATTATTTTCACATTTATAAACATTTATAATTAAATAAAATTAATATTTTATTATAACCGCATTATGTAATTATTTCAAACTACGTTAAAATGTGAAAATAATCTCACAATATGTATTTATGAACATACAAGAGATACTTCACGCCAGTGTGATTTGGATGTGGAATCGCTCCGCAGAAGCTTTAAGAATAAAATTTAAACTTAGGATAAAAGATAAAAGGAGAGTTTTAAAAATAATTTAATTTGTTTTATTAATAGAATTTCGAACAATAACTAAAAATATAAAATTTTACATATTTTTCGTGTTTTTGTACTTTTATTAAATTAAAAAGTAATATATTAAACATTAAAATATGACTATTATTATTATTATTATTATTATTATTATTATTGTCGATAAGAGAAGCCGTGAGGAAATTTCTGCATTAAAAGTTTTTTTTATAGTCACATTTGAAATTCCTTTTCAACAGTTGCTAGTAATGGTAATGACTATAATAGCTGTAGTGAGATCTTCTCATAATTACAGCAATACAGTAAAATGTAAAGGTGAAGACCGCTTTACAGAGGATTTACAATTAAATACATTCTATAGAATTTCAACTGATGAAACTCTTACGTAAGTTAAGTGATGATCGAATAATTTCCTTTATAAATAAACAAATACGATTTACAATGTCACCAAAGTTTATTATAATTCTATTTTCTTCCTATTGACCAACACGTAAAACAAAACTTATAAATATTAATATTAGATAAATACAATCAAACATTGATATAGCATCCACGTGAATTAACGCCACACCCGGTTTAGTGTCAATTTCACAGGCGTACGAACAAAAAATCTACTAGTTTGGGACAATATTTCACACAATTGAGTGTGAAATATTGTCCCAATTGCGTATGAAATTGGAAGATATCTCCGGGAAGACTTTCTATAGGAAGCTGGATCTATTTAGGTGTCAGAAACGTGAAATAAACTAGAAAAATTGCACATGGCCATCCCGTTGACCAGGCTCGAACTTATGATCCAACTACCAGTGTTTAGTGTTCACCAGTGGCCTGTTTATTCACTGTCACTGGTGGATTTATCCGACTAATATCGACTTTTAGTAGATGTTTTACTGTAAGAGATCAAACGATACTTATGTCGTTAAGAAAATAAGAGATTTTTTCGCGCGTTATAAATTTTTTTCAAATGAAAACTACCTTTCATGTTATTATGAAAACGAAAATTTTAATTATTTCATTAATTTTATACAAAATGGATTCAATTGAAGTTAAAATTTGAATTAGATTTAAGATTGACGAGTTTTGCATGCGGAATCGGTTTCTGTTATGTTTGCCAATTTGATAAATTGTCCTAATTGAGCTCTTATTTTTGTCACCTCGGCCTCGGCTTCTGATTTTTTTAAAAGGTTTTCTCTTAATTGTTGTGATAATTCCTGTACTTCAGTACTCAATTCTTTTAATCTGAAATCTAATTTAATAATAACTTCTTCGTATTTTTCCTTTTGCTCTTTCATCTGAGTTATCAAATGAATCTCCCACTTCTTCTTGCACAGTTCTAACGTTTCTTCCGCTTCATTTTCTAATTTTGCTTGTAAGTTGGCAAGCGATTTCTGTTTGTCTTCCGCTAACGCCTGGTTTAATTTTCTTAATTTTTCTTCAAAATCTCTAAAATTTAAACAAATAATTATTAATAAAACCAAAAAAATATTTTAATTCAATTAAACATTGAAATAATTGGAAAGTATTTTATTATTTATCGAAATTTGGGCTACATATAAATTAAGTTTCTTATACAGGGAGATTCACATTAAGTGCTAAAAAGCATTTTGTCATCAGGAGTGATTGCTACAGTTTTTATTTTAAATAGGCTTTATTCTTTGCCGTTTAAACATCTTATAGACATTTAAAAATATTTTTAACTTTTCCTTCTTTAAGTCTGAAACTTTATCGTACGAAGATGATAAATAGTATCTTTGTGAGACGAAGTAAAAGTGGATAGCGACAGATGAGGCGGTAGAATGGTCATAACGTAGACTTCTTTAGACTTAGATTCTCATTAGACTTCTTTTTGAGGGGGTTATGTAAAGAATAAGGTTTTAGAAGCATCTATTACAACGAGGGAAGACATGAAACATGTGATTATGTAAGCCACACGAGTGAATTCATTCCCTGCAGATGTTTATAACTGTTCAACGAAATATGATGGAAAAGAATTGCTAAATTCATCGAAGTGTTCACAGTTAAAACACAATACAATAATAATTCTTCGTGTCTTTTAAAAAAGGAAGCATTTTCACATATTTAATAATAAATTCAATAAGATGGTTTTACTTGTTTTTTAAGATATAAGAATTGAAAAAGTCTGCTTGCAGAGAAACGAAAGATCGAAAAACTAACCAAAAACAAGTTTTTACATTGTTTTACGTTACATTTTTTTAACTTTCACATTCGAAACTGTTTTTAATAAATAAATAGCAATTGAAAATAAACTAAATCCTCAAAAGTTGCTCTCATCTTCATTCATGCTCATCAACCTTCTCGCGAGTAAAATCGGCCCATAATAGACAAAATATGAATATAATCAATGCAGAATTGGAATTTCAAGAGTCAATATTATTTTATTTATTTTTGACATATTTCGAATTTGATGGATTCTGAAACTCCTCACGCTATGGATTTTGCTGTTACATTATCTTATCTTGTATTCAAATATTTTTGTTCCTTATTAAATTTCTAAACTTATGCAACAACTCTTTTTTCTACTATAATAATTATCATATAAGCATATGCTTTAAATGCTAAATCAATTTAATACCTCTTCATCTTCCCATAAGTTTCTTCCGCAATTCTTCTTTCTTCTTCCTGCACTTCCTGAACTGCCATTTTTAAGTGATCTCGAAAATGTTCTTGAGCTTCTTTCATTGCCAATCTCATTCGTTGCTCCGAAGAACGTCTCTCTTCTTCCATTCTCACTTCTAATTCGTATCTTTTCTGAATTTCTACTTTTGCAACTTCTTCCTGTTTATAAACATTCAAACAATTAATCAGTTATAACAATTATGCAATTAGTTGGAGCGAATTTCCGACATACTAGATTGAGTATTGACGATGTTTACGCTATACGTGTCAAGAGTTCTCAATCTATAATCCTATAATTTACTAAAATCATACAAATTTACATGATGTACGACACGATCGATGCAGATTTAATGAACCGTATTTATTTTAATAAGATTAGTTATTTCTGTGTGGATAATGACTGATTTAAGAGGATGTTGCCGTGTTATTCTCTAAATATAATTTATTTAGATCATAACAGAACGAAGGAAAATACCAAGAATATGATAAACATAACGGAAAGTAAATACAGATTTAATTCTAGTTGTGTTTCCTTTCAGTAGAACATAATTCTACGAGAATTCTACGTATACTAGAATTATCTGCTCTTTCCAAAGGAAAAAAGATGGATCTTTTTTCCTTCTATATTTTTATTATTTCATATTTTATTAATACACTGTACAGTACATCTGTGGTGTACTCACGGAGATGATTTGGATGTTGAGTTTCTTACCAGATGTTTTAGGAATAAAATTTAAACTAAAAGAATTCGTATATAATAACAAATCTAAAATTACATTTTATTATTGTGACTCCACGTACACATAGAATAATTAAAAAATGATTAGGCGTGTCGAAGTTTTAGACTTGCAATAACGATATTTAAAGAAATGAAACGAATATGCTTTAATTAGAATAAATGCAAGGAAGCTGAGTGAAAAAAACCAAAGGTGATAAATCGAAATGGTATAATGTTACGTGCCAGATGATTTTTCCCGACGTGTCACTGTCGGTAACCGCGTGCCATAACTTTGCCACCTCTTTTCTAGAAGAAAGATCGCAGTTATCGTATTTGTTCTCAAAGTTTTCTTCTAGAAATATCGGGAACATTCTAGAACATTTCTCTAGCGGATATACAAGGGACTAATACAAGACACGTCCTCCCAGATCGCTTTGTAGAGCAAAATTTTAGTTACGTCACTGCCGTACAACATAATGATATCACTAGAAATATGTTATTTTATGTTGTTATGTAGTTAGTAGTCTATATTAATATTTATACAAATTGTATGACAGTTTTTGTCATATTTATTATACCTGTAGTTCTTTTTTCTGTTGCTTCTTTAGATTCCGAATGTAATCATTGTGCCGAGATGTAATTTGCTTCAGTGTTTCCTCTATAATGTGCGCTTTAGCCTTATTTGCTCTATCAATCATTTCTAACAAAGTTTCTTCCATTACTTTATGGCTCTCCGCTTCTATAACTTCTAAAGCTTCCTGGTGGAGTTTTCTACTCACGTCTAAATAATAAAGTGATTTAAATAAATAGAATTTATTTTAATTCATAATTTATTCGTAAAATGTTAATATTCTAACTTTGTAAATGTTTCAAAATTCCTTTTTCTTCCATAATCTTTTTAATTTCATCATAATTTACTTCTTCGATAGGTATTTTAGATTTTNAAATAATAAAGTGATTTAAATAAATAGAATTTATTTTAATTCATAATTTATTCGTAAAATGTTAATATTCTAACTTTGTAAATGTTTCAAAATTCCTTTTTCTTCCATAATCTTTTTAATTTCATCATAATTTACTTCTTCGATAGGTATTTTAGATTTTGTTTTCAAGTATTGTTCATCGATAATTTCCGAACAATTTCCCTCCTGTAAATATACAAATATTCGAAGTTGTTACTTAAATTATAGATAAAATTTTAGATCTTATCTCTAATTAAATTACTTTAAAATATTCTTCCGGATCTTCCTCATCCTGCGAATTTCTCTCCTTGAAAATATCATTTTCTTGAATTATGCAGTCTCCGATTTCTGAAAGAATTAAAGATTATTTAACTGCAAATCTTCTGGCATTTTAATATTAAATTTGTTTAATAATCATTTAAGAAATTTTCAGACAAATAAATTCAATTAAAAATTAACTTGTGCATCTTTAAAACTTTTATAAAATAAACCTAATTTGTTGTATTTTATAACCTTTACCTTCCATCATCATCGAATTTGATCGCATGCTAATTCAATATCTAAAATTTATCCGATAATAAACTATTATACATATTATTCGAAATTTATTTAGAAACAAATCAAGAATGGCAATTCTTAGAAATATAAATTTTGTTTCGTCATAAGTAAAAAAATATCGTTTGTTATGTTATTTTCTCTTTCGTGGCTTTATTTTATTCATAAAATTCTTAAATTATTTGCAATAAATACATATCTTTTATTTATTATTACTTTTCCAGCTCTTATATATAACAGAGGAAAAGTATAGCGAGGGTTTTCTATATGTGGGACACGATTTTGTTCACTTTCTTTGAAGCTTAATAACTCCTTAGTCGAAAATTTCTAAAATTTTGCAGGGAGGTTTATATTAGGGGATTGGAGTTATTTAGATTAAAGCCGAGAGCATATGTGGAAAATATAGGATCAGGAGGTATATATGAACGTCCAATACAAACCGAAACTCACGTTGTTTCAATTCAAAACTTCCCCTTTCCCGAAAGCAGTTAATAGCAGACCGGCACGACTCCATTGTTAAAAGAAAAGTATAATGTACAGTACAAGGGCAAGCCACTACTAATTTGAAGTGTAGAGTATACATTTCAAATGAAATAAATTAAAAATATGATTAAAAATTGCAGCCCGGCATTGTGACGATGTCACAATAAATAATTGCTCGTCAGCGTTTAAATTTCTTTTAAATTTATTCTTACCTCAAAATTAAGCTTTTTGCCATTTTATAATAATTAAAAATTTCACGTTTAAGATGAATTTTTTTTATTTTAAATTTTATTTCTAAAGTCTATGGAAAGAAATACGACACCCACAACATCCCAATGAGTACGCCACATGTGTACAGTGTATTAATAAAACACGAAATAATAAAAATATAGAAGAAAGAAAAGATCCTTTTTTCCTTTGGAAAGAGCAGATAATTCTAATATACGTAGAATTCTCGTAGAATTATGTTCTACTGAAAGGAAACACAACTAGGATTAAATTTGTATTTACTTTCTGTTATGTTTATCATATTCATGGTATTTTCCTCGGTTCTGTTATGATCTAAATAAATTATATTTAGAGAATAACACAGCAAAATCCACTTAAATCAGTCATTATCCACACAGAAATAACTAATCTTATTAAAATAAATACGGTTCATTAAATCTGCATCGATCGGTGTCGTACATCATGTAAATTTGTATGATTTTAGTAAATTATAGGATTATAGATTGAGAACTCTTGACACGTATAGCGTAAACATCGTCGATACTCAATCTAGTATGTCGGAAATTCGCTTCAACTAATTGCANATTTAAATAAGAACAAAAGTTTAAGGAGAATAATTTTGTTGAATTATGAGAAATGTCTGTGTTTAAAAGAATACTTAAGTGAAAAAAAAACAAAGATATTTTAGCACAAAGTTAAAATCGCGTGTGTTTTTGTTACGAGATTTTTATTAAAACATAATTTTTATTTTATTAATTATTAATAAAAAGCAGATTTGATTTTCACTATAGAAATGAGTTTCTAAAAAATTCTAAATTCCAATAACGAGTAAAACTTCTATTAAGTCCGACCGCCATCGAGATATGACATATGATCCCACTCTATCTAACCACCCTTTCAACCTTAAACCACCAAAATTTAATAGTATCATAGAAATAGCCCTGTCATACATAGAAATAGCCCTGTCAAGATTAAAAATTTTTGGTTCATCTAGTCCCGAGATATAATACAAAATATAGGCAAATTCAAATAGAATGTAAAGTTCTCTGTCTCAACACAGAGAGAATTCTGTAAGGGATATTTTTTTACACTTTTAGACTCGTGGAGTGTCAAAACATCGAGTAATACAAATAAAACGAATGAGGTCACGATTTAGCAACGAGTTGCTTAAATTTCCCGGCAACATTTAAAACTGCGTGTGGAACCATCTGTTTTGATATTTTATTAAAAACTTTTTATATTTTCAATTATTATAAAATGACAAGAAATTTCATTATGAGGATAGGGATGGGTTTTATAAACGACTACTTTTGGTCAAATTTACTTCAACTCCCTTACGTAACTTTCAATCTACGAACGAGCGGCAGATCTACTAGTGACTGAGCTGTTCCGTTTCTTGAACACTGTGGGTTCGCGCCTTGCTAGGACCAGCTGGCCACGTGGGGTTTTCTTTACGTCTGTAACGCCTCTACATCAGCGCCACCACATGATTTCTCAAAGTATAGCTGGCTGAACACAAATATATCAGTTAAGGAAAATGCAACACCGCCCTAACCAGGTATACCGTAGACAACGACATTAATCCCTTTCGCCACGTTTAATCTCTGTGAAAAGGATTTTTCCCCTTTTCACAGAGATAAAACTATGGTTGCGCTGAAAACTAAATACAGGAATCGTCCTTTATTACTCGAAATCAATTTGCTTTTGTGTGTTTCTAACGTAGATCCACGTATAGAGAAAATTTTAAATGAAAAACAAATGCAACCATCACATTAATTTATTTTCTTTACATATGTACAGTACAGTACACTCGAATCAAGATCAAAAGAGTGGTTGACCTTACTGACGCCTTGACTCTCTACGTGTAACTTCATAATACTTAAATCGTAAATTTAATGATAAATTAAAATTTTTATTTATATATTTTTATAACATTTTTCTTATATTCATTAATTAATAGTCTCTATTTTAATTTATCAGTTTTACTTTTCAATTCTTAACTGATTTATTTTGTAGACTCGATTTTACAAGTATAAATTTAATTAAACTGTTTCAAATAATCAAAATTTGCTTATTTTACACGTAAAACAATTATAATTAGTAGTAGTTGTTAAATAGATATTTGTTACTTTAGTTTCTTGAAAATTAATTAAGCCTCATATTGTTCGATAGTTTAATAAGTCGATGTTTATCGAGTCCTTTCCTGTGTTGATGAAGATAAATAAGCGCTTTCGTATTCATTATTGTTTGATTTTTAATCTAGCGGATAATTTTTAAGCTTTAATTATTATCAGATTTGTTCTTTTCCTTTAGCGAAAAGTTTCGAGTTTCGTAAATAAAATTATACGCAATAAATACTTAATTTAATTAAAATATTCCAACTTGTTTTTACTATAAAATAATCTTTGATATTTAACAAAGGAAAAGTAACTAAAGAGAGCTGATAATGCATATTGAAAAGTATTAACATCTAGATAATTATATTGCAATTGGCTTTTATTATACAAAGTTTTAAAAAGTTTCTTTCGAAAAATAATTAACTACAGTATGCAAAATAAAGCATGCGATTTATGTCACTTTATGTCTAAAAAATGTGGTAATAAACTTTCTATAATTAATAATCTCGGGTGGAAATGGAAGACAAATACATATACATATTTGTCTTCCATTATTTTTAAATAAAGAAAATTTACTGTGTGGATAACGACGATAGCACCATCCCACAGAAAATAATAGAATCTTAATCTTTCGCATTACTATTTAGTATAACTTGTATATTCATTTAATTTTCTGATCATTTACACAATTCACTACAAACATTTTTAGTTATAAAATTACACAGAAACAGTTTCCGATCAATTTAAGTTCTTGAAAAAGTTCTCGAACAGGAGGTTAATTAAGGAGACAAGGAAGAAAGTTCGATAATTTTCAATTAGAGTACGACGTAAAATTTAAATAAGAACAAAAGTTTAAGGAGAATAATTTTGTTGAATTATGAGAAATGTCTGTGTTTAAAAGAATACTTAAGTGAAAAAAAAACAAAGATATTTTAGCACAAAGTTAAAATCGCGTGTGTTTTTGTTACGAGATTTTTATTAAAACATAATTTTTATTTTATTAATTATTAATAAAAAGCAGATTTGATTTTCACTATAGAAATGAGTTTCTAAAAAATTCTAAATTCCAATAACGAGTAAAACTTCTATTAAGTCCGACCGCCATCGAGATATGACATATGATCCCACTCTATCTAACCACCCTTTCAACCTTAAACCACCAAAATTTAATAGTATCATAGAAATAGCCCTGTCATACATAGAAATAGCCCTGTCAAGATTAAAAATTTTTGGTTCATCTAGTCCCGAGATATAATACAAAATATAGGCAAATTCAAATAGAATGTAAAGTTCTCTGTCTCAACACAGAGAGAATTCTGTAAGGGATATTTTTTTACACTTTTAGACTCGTGGAGTGTCAAAACATCGAGTAATACAAATAAAACGAATGAGGTCACGATTTGATCGATCATCGTATGTTATAATAATTATATTACAATAGGAAAAGTAAAAGTTTTTATTCAAATAATTCTTGATTTATACACAGATTCAGAACACACACACCAATATAATTGTATTAATTTTTTAAAATATTTTAAAACAAATCGGATATTTATCGAATTCTCACTCTATAGAATATTAGACTATAAGATTCTTAATTAAAGGATGTTGTCATCTAATAAGTTTGTGGAGAGCTTTCGGTTAATTTTAATAGTTTTAAATATAATGAATTGTATCGACCGATAAACTTTCTTTCCAAATATATTTCTATAGAAGCTTAGCACGATTAGTTTTATTTGTATATAATCTACTTCCTCGGCATGTATACAAATAAAAGTAAGCAACTTTTATCGCGAATAATGTGTATTACAATGTTATAATTCCAATGAAGAATTATAGAAATTCTTTCTTTCTATTTTTTAACATAGAAAACTTAATAAATAAATAAATATGTATATATATATATTATAATGTTATATAGAGGCTTTATACTGTATTGTATACATGTAAGTATAAGCTAAATAAATCAATATAATTCAATTCGAAAAATTAATTTTTGAATAATCGATAATATAAATTATAAGAAGAAAAAAAATACTTGAGGAGCTGATCTGGATGAAAAAAAAAGATGAAGTGATTGATGGGAGTATGACAGGTAAGTACAAGATAAAGAATGGAATTAAGAATGATGTAACCTTTATAATCTTGTTTTAACGACATTTAATGAACTGAACCTTCTTAGTGGAAAGAAATGATGTCAATCGGAGGATATAAAAGCCTACTTATTGTAAAAAATCATCTATTTTCTAACATGTTAGTTCAAGATAACGGATAATTTAATGTGTTATACTTGCACGAAATACAGCTTATAAGTTATTAGACGGAATATTTCACGAAGTCGGAGTTGTTAATGATAGCAATTGATTCAATTAACTATCGTTCAACATAATAATTATTTATTAATACTTATTTTTTTTTGGCGTTTCTTCAGTATAATCGGATCTACATTGTTTACCATATGTTCATCGAAATCACATTGTTTCAATCTACAAAATATACTTCTGTGATGTCCCAAAAAAATGGGTTGAAATTAAACATTTAGGGGAGACCGGGGCAACTTCGGCATGCGGGGCAAGTTTGTCAAGCGCTTTTTTTTAAAAACAAATTAAAAGGAGACTTTGGTTATAGGTTAGGCAGTTGAGTTTTATTGGTGGCTTGTTGAGTGTAGTGTTTTTATTGTTCTCCAACAAGCGTAGTTGAATTATCAAGCAAATTTTCATTTTCGTTCAATTCCATATAATATTTTTTTTCCATTTATATTGAATTGGCAGGTTTTGTTATAATTCCATGATAACGAAAGTTACTTTTCCTGTTAGAAGGATGTAACTTCAACTTATTCACGTGGCCAGATCGTGGCTTGGCATTCTGTTCTCAGGGTTGTACTTAATGTTTCGAAATCATGACTAGCGGGGTAAGATCGGCAACATAAAGCCACATTAGAAGCAAAGGATAAAAATCAAACAGATGATAAATGAAAACATGTTTGCATTTGTTATTCATGTATATATGTCTTTGAACTTGCATTTCGTTGTAATAATATTAAATGGGTGTTGGATTTGTATTTCTTTGTTTTAATAGTGAATTCCAACTTATACATTGTTAATAACATAATTTTATATACGTGCCTATCTTGCCCCATTACTGTTGCCCCTATACCAGGGGCAACTTTAATAAAAATAATTAAAATAATTACAACTTTACAAAAAGAGAGAAGTTGCCGATCTTGCCCCTATACCCGGGGCAACTTCGTCAATTTCTCTCTTCTTGTAAAGTTGTAATTATTTTAATTATTTTTATTTCCAAACTGATTTTAACCAGTTCTATAGTAAGGTAACATTCCAATAGACAATATGCAAAGCTTTTTTTTTCAGTTTACAGCAGTATTTATTACACAAAATTTAAGTGAAGCTTAACATGCCGATCTTGACCCGATCTCCCCTATATTAGAAATTTATTAAAACAAACTAGAGAGGAAAAACTGATCAAAGATCGGATTCAGTTGTTCTAGTCATATGAAACCGAGACGAGAAATTATTAATGTAAAACATGACACAATAAATGTAAACGAGTGCCCTCCAGTAGAGATGGACCTTTAACAAGGCGGTCGTATACAAATAATAAGAACATAGAAAATCTCGAAGAGGGGAATGGTTAATTATTAAAGGGGACATCGCGTCAGGTCGTTAAAATCCTAAGACGTCAAAGACTAGACAACAATGGGGTAAAATGAACGCATGTTTAAAGTCCCATCAACACTTTCCATCCAGAGTTAACGGATGGTGTCGGGTAAATTCCACGAAGCGAATCTTCTCGGGATCCGGACGGGTCTCGTGTTTCGCTTAGGGACAAACGTGGAACCAATAAGGATGGACAAAAAGGGGAGAACGGAGATTGATGTAATCCCCGATCGTCAAGGGCACTCGGAAAGACGTACTCGGCGAGTCGACACTCGTGAGTGAAATCGGAAGCGATGTGTCAACACACTTGGGACGAAGCTTTCCGTGTTGTGCCGATACCGAAGCCGTGCCGTCGCCGACCAACGGAGTCTCCCCACCTGTCTCGCGAACTCTTTAACAACACTGCCCAGGGGCCACCTCGACAACAAACAACTAATAGAACACTGACGCTCGGGAAGTGAACAACAAGACAGGCATCGACGCTAAGGACTTCCAACCAGCCGATTGTGTTCAGAAATATTTGTTTCCTAGTGTAAGTTTGTTTTATGTTAAAATAAACTGGTTTTTGCAAAATACTTGTCATCTCTGTCTCATCCTCCACACCCACACGCGAACATCCCTACTGTACATCATCCTGAGGGGGGGATTAACGATTCTCCCCTAAATGTTGGCAAACTTACGCTGGTGTCCAAGAAGCGGGATTTTAAGTCCCCAATCTCCACCACGTCAGCGAACTTACACTTCTCTTTTTTCTTTACGATATCTATAATCCAAAATTTGAATTTTCTTAAACATTTTTTCACTAAAATTACTCCATTTTAAATTTATGCATTTTATTTCGCCAAACTATAACAACAAAGATGTCGTAGATACCGTTCAGGGACGAAACGATCTTTTTGCCACGGACTACTTCCTTCATGAGTGACACAGCTTCCTAGTGACTATTCATCGGGGGAATCGAGACAAAAATAAACTTGAGTTTTCCGCGATTTTTGGAGCAACAAAAGATTTTCTCAAAAATGGCATTAGAATATCAAAAGGAAAACCCCCACGTAAAAGGTTCAAAGGCCGATGATGACAGAAAGAGAGAGTTCACCGATCCATCTCCTTGTGCAAGTGAATTCCAGCCGTGCCAAACCGTAGCTGCCTATAACTACCGGACATTCGAATTACACCATCCAGGAGTCTTACTCTCCTCGATCCAGCAGAAACCTCTCCATCCGTTCGTCAAGACGATCCACGACATCCCGACATCAATCAAGGTTCTACCCATGAAGGTATTTACCAACAAGCGTCACCCCTTGTAAACGCTCTTTCGCGATCTTACATAGACTCCTGTTTATGTTCCACTCTTGTAGAAAAGCCGTTTCGTTTAATAAATTGTTGTTAATTTTGTTAAAAAGCATAGTGGAGTACATTATTTCCGGCACACTGTCTCTCGAATCTCTCCTCCATCCCGAATCCCGAAAACGCTCGCATGAGATTAAATGTGCATAATTAATTAAGAAAGACGTGATAAATACTACTAGTTTCACTATTGGAAGAAGAAATCTTCACTTATAACTTTTTATACGCTCTCCAGTCTGACGAAAGAGAGTCTGTCTCCTCGAAATTAACTACCGTCCTTCTTACGAAGGTTTTGGAGATTTCTAACCTTTCATGTTGTTTCGATCGAAGCACTATTTTCTCTCGATGGCGTCTGTTTCGTTTCTAAGGAGTGAGGAAATTGTAGGGTTTTAGAAGAACCTTACAATTTCCTCACTCCTTAGAATTCTGTGCTTATTACATCGGGCTATCTCCTTATAGATGGAACAGAGGGCCTCGTGATAACTGACTACCACACCGTATGATAGAGCTGCCTAGGCTGAAACATTCGGAAAGGATAAACATCTACAAATTGTTCGGGATAAGGACTGCATGAATACAGATAGTCCATTTATATGTTACTGTAGGCCTATAATCATACAAGTCGCTATACAGGAAATTGCCGTCAACTTTCACATTAGAAACAATGGGTACGTTTACTTTTTGCTAGCATCCAAGCTCGCCGAGCTGACACCAAGCGCAGCCTGACGTCATACTAGTACGCTCGTAAAAGTATACACAGTAATGGACGCCGCCATTTTTGAACAAACTCCAAGCTCGTTGTAAATTCTCCGAGCACGCCGAGCGCGCTACGAATGTTAGCAATGACGTCACAAGTGCGAAAAGTAAACGCACACAATAAATGTAACGAAACGAAGACGTCATCTATGTTTATACAAAATATATTTTATATTATCATCCTGTTATTGGACGCCGCTTAGTAAAATCGTTATAAAAAGTTTTAATTGGCAATAATTGGGGCTTTTGTAATTTTTAAAACATTTTGAATAAAATACATTTGTACCCGTGCAATTTTATCTTTATAAGCATAAACTTAAGCCGTAAAACTGAATTAGCGCTATGGGAAACCGCCGTGAAGTTTTACCTATCTACCCGGATGTTTCGCCTATATTTTACCGATAACGAGAAATGCTTAATTATCTATATTAATTCGTATATATGACTAAATTGAGACTTAAAATTTTTCTGTCCCTAAAACAATTTTCAAAAACGTTTTGTATGATTAGTTTGAAAATATTATTTTAAAATTCTTATATGAACCAATAAAGGGAAGGAAAATGAAATTTGTAGGCAAAAATATTCATTTTTCTCAACAACAATAGCGCTCGTCGACAATAGTTTTTCTTTTCGATTGTTTCGAAGGCTTTCGTTTGCGTTCTTTACTGTTTTGTGATTTTCGAAGAGTGAAATGAGTGGAGAGAGAAAGAGTTTCTTGCGTAGGATCTTCGGAGGAAGACCCACGAGCAATAAGATAGGTGTAGAGAGAGAGGAGCAGAGAGATGAAGAGATGGGTCATGGTCCCACAGAGAATCCGGAAGTCAGTGGAATTCCGATCGAAATACTGGTTCTTCCTCGACGTTTGGAGGATCCAGAATCTAGTGGATTTCAGCCGGATCCGGAGTTTCTTTCGGAGCGTTCGGAGCAAGCCCGACGTATCGAATGGGTCGAGCCGAAGCTCTATTGGAGTCCGTGTAAGATATACCGACTGAGATTAGCTCATATGAGCGACGAGGAGATCGAGGCCGAAATGTGGGCCGAGGGCATCGAGTTCGATCGAAATAAACGTCATTCGGATCATTTTATGAGAGGGGCGCTTTCAAAATTGGTGAAAGTGATAAGAAATGTGCGGGAATTCTCTTGTTCCTGCTTTGATGGCTGTAAGAAAATTAAAGTTCATCCACTTATGAACGATGAGTTACGTCTTCGCAATCGTCTTTTCGGGTAATTGTCATTTTCACAGATTGAATGTGGTTTAAATTCAATATTTGCTTTTCACAACGATTAATCTTTAATTCTACTTTATAGCCCTCTCCTCACAAACGTCGAAAGTATAGAACTGGAGGAGTTCTAGACGAACTCAGAGACCTTGAAGTTATCTAGCGTGGTCCTATCTTCCAGTTGTGATTAAATGAGTGCAATTTATCGACTTGTGACGCTATTTACCGGACTTGACTCTGTAACTCGGACTTGACGACTTTTCCTGGATTTGACCTGAAAACTCGGATGTGACCGAAGTCTCCAACGGGACTTCAAACTTCGGGTGTGACAGAAGGATGATTCTCAAATGGACTTTCGAATAAGCGGGGAATCATTTCCTTCGGACTTTTGTGAATTCAATGTGTTTTATATTGTGTTTGTGATTTAATCGAGGGACAGTTTGCCTCTGATGTATGAGCTGAAAACCCGGATGTGACTTTAAACCTCGGATGTGACAGAAGGATGATTCTCGAATGGACTTTCGTATAAGCGGGGAATCATTTCCTTCGGACTTTTGTCAATTCAATGTATTTTATATCGTGCTTGTGATTTAATCGATGGACAGAATTTTGAACTTTTCAGAGAACAGACTGAAATTTACATGCATCTTTATGACTTATTCTTACCTTAATCCTGTCTTGTGCCTATAGTTTAATATTTGTATTCAATTAAAATTTAATCGTGTTAATTATTTGTAATTTGTATATCGAGTTAAAAAAACATTATATAATAAACTTCTCAAAAAATAAATATGTTATTGTGAAATATATTATGCATTATATAATATAATATAATAAAAATAACGTATTATATTATAAGTTACAACGATTACAAATAACGAAGTTTAAACTTAATAACCGACGTTACAATAATAGAGGCGGCAAACACGTGAATCTGCCACACTGTCAGTCGGATTGAATTAAATTGATATTATAAATCCCAGTTTATAGACCATTTCCGTTCACGACTGAATGGTGACCGATTAAGGTGGCAGCCTTTTGCTCTGGGGAACCAGAAATCGAATTCGAATGGGCCGCAAAACCACAGGAATTTTTCGATTGTGATTCGTCCGGCAGAGCCATGTGAAATAGTTTGTTATACAAAGCAATTTAAAATCACTCACTGATTCACTCACTGATTCAATGCTAATTACAAAATGTTCTACGAGTTCATTTTGGCGCTTTGGGCACATGTCCACCTTCGCTCTTTTTAGTTACGCCTCTGTCCTTGGCCCAGCAGTGGCCAAGCGGTTCCGTTTCCTGAACGCTGGGAGTTCGGTCGTGGGTTAGTGCCTAGCCCGGACTGCGTGGTTTTTCGGGTTTTCTCCACGTCTGTTCCCTGAATAGGGGCCAACAACCCTTAAAAAGACCTTCCGGGAGGCATTTCCCTTAGGCAGATCGCCAAGTGTTGCATTGCCGCAAATTAACCAAACAATTAACAAACTGTCCTCCGGATATGTGGGGTCTGTCGCTCACCATCCGGCCGCCCTATTGTGGATTTGGCAGAACCCATATGGGGCTTGGTAAAAATCTTTCTCTTAGAGCCCAGAGAGCTGTAGCACTGAAGGTCGTTGAACAATGTTCTGTTGCAGTTTAACAGTTCGTAGTGTGTATGAATCCATGCGGATAGAAAAAAAGTTTTTTAGTACTCACAGGACGAAAAGAATCAAAAATAATAAGAAAAAAAATCATGGAGTAAGTATATGGAGTATATAAGTCAATCAGCACTAAAAAATTTGCTTGTGAGAATCAGGCTCACCCAGGGCCGTGCCGTGCTATGATGCAGAGAGGCGGCCGCATCAGGCGGCATAAGCAGAGAAATCAAAACATTATTTGAATCATTCAATAATTAAAAATTTTTACGCAACGCTTTTTTCTATATTGGTCTACGTTATTCCGATATTGATGTATACGATTTATGATTTATTGCACGCCGCTGCCTAAGTGTCTCGGTACCCTTTGATTTCGGTTTATGGTGCAGGTGCATTGTTAGCGTGACGTGATAACGTGCAAAAGGCTTTTGACGTGACAACGCAAAGCTATTGTTTTTGTTTGTAATATACCGCGCGACCGCCTCTCCTCCTCTTCCCTCGAGGGGGTTTGGAATTTCGAAAAATCCCTTTTTAGTGTGCATTCTCATGACTTACCCTACTAAAACGCAGTTAAAACAAAAAATTGCATCTAAAATAGTACAGTAGAAGCCGTTCTTCAGATTAAGCCTTAATTCTTTCCCTCTTTCCGCGGGGGGGATTTCCACAAATCCCTTCTTAGTGTACTTTCTCACGACGTACTCTGTGTATCAAATTTCAACTTCTAACCGTCTGGGTTCTGCGCTTAAACTGGCTTTGCAACTCATTTCTATCATTATTTTATTTACCCTATTTTAATAGCATGATAAGCAACATCATATTTAATCATTTTCAATGACCCCCCTCCGGTCTTTGCGAAGATCTGTGAATTTTTATTTAATATTTTTATTACAGTATGGAACAGAAAAAGAAAAAAAATGTCTGGAAGTCAATATAAAAAGAAACGCTTAAAGAAAAGGAAGAAGGAAAAAAGCTAAGCTATGTTATGAAGAAATTCTTAGTACTGTACAAAAGTCCTGTTTAGATGAGTCGTCCACATCCACATCAACAGTGCCTGCTTTGGATTTGGCAAATGAAAACTCAGTGCCGCCCAATCACTTCCAGAAGTTGTTGAAGAGAGCCAAAAAATAACACCATCAGAAGTTCATCAAGAGCGGAGTAGCAGTAGCAGATATTAAACGAAGTTCCTTTTGATTCTGCATTATGAAATGCTTTCTGTATATCATCTGAAACTTGTCAAATACTAGTGGAGAGGGGTCCACATCAAATTAAAGAATTCGAGTTTCCTATTAATAAAGGAAGGCGCAGATTTTCGCCCTCGCATTATTTGAAAGTGTTGAACATTACCGGTATTTGTTCCAACTTTAGAGTAAAGATGTTAGACAGTTCTAATTGACGGCCGGACGGCCGAACGGTGAAAGTGGCAGCCCACCGCTCTGGAGAACCGGAAACGTATGCTAAAGGGTCAAGGAATCCCCACGAATTTCATGTGGGGTGGTCCGTTAGGATAAGTCAGGCCCGTCCCCTTCCACCCGGTCACCCCATTGTGGGCCTGCTATAAAAGGCCCTCTTAGTGCCCACAGGGCGGAAAGAGTATAAAAAAAACAATTCAGAAACTTTTTACAATCTAAGAATTTTCCTAATTACTTAAACATTTTAAAAAATATACATTTTCATATTGATGATCGACGTATACACGTATAACACGCTCATTTTTAAAAGCAAGAAAAAAATAATTGATAATGGAAATTTTGGGCCTGTTTTGGAATCCGACACTAACAAATAAGTTCAAAATACATACATATAATGCACCGATCAAAACAATTAGCGGAGCACGTGACTGCTCTAATCGAGGAGCGACGAACATCATCATCCATTCGATCCCATATTACACAGACGTGCAGCAGTTTTGGATCATACAACCGGCTAACGTCAGCACAATACCCTGTATTTACTGGCAATTTAACCTAGCTGCAAAGTATGTCTTAAGATAAGATTAAAAGAAATTATTTTAACTAGATTAAAAGTCTCCTATGATGTATAAATGTTTTTAGCTGAAATCGGTATTTTACCTTAAAAGTTGGTTATTGATAAGTCTTGTGACGGTTCTTCTGTATTTTATTTATCTAAACTGTGGGCGTGGGTTCGAATCCCACTCCTGACACGAACTTTTTTCTTATGACCGGTCGATTGAAAATGTATATTTTAGTGTGACGTAAGCTCCTGGAAGACATTTTGTAATTCTTTTGATTCGAAACAGTAATGCTAATTGGATCAGAACTTTGCAACATGTTGAATTCCGTTTTGAAAGCATCGGAAAATTAGAGTAAACGTATCGAAACGTTGCAAAGCGTCGAACAGAAACTCTGCTTCGCCGCACGTGTGTGAAGCAGAGTTTCTGTTCTAAATTCGAAGCAAAAGAATTCTACTGTCGCCGTCAATTGCATAAACGATGACAAGGGAGAAAAAGAAAAAAAGGCCCCACCGAGATTTGAACTCGGATCACTGGATTCATAGTCCAGAGTAATCAGTATCCAAAGACTGTTTGTTTTATTCTCTGGATCAACATAGCGATGGGAAGTGATATCCAAGCACGTAGAAGGACTATCGCTGAAAAAAGTTTGTGAAACTCGTTAGGAGAAGAATTTTTAGCCTCGCTGCAGTTCGTTATCACTTCTGGATCTTCACAAAGAAACGAATGAACCAGTTGCAGCATCAAAGGCCCCTTGTCCCTGATTCAGAACATGGAGCAATTTGAGTTTATAGTAACAATGGTAACTTGGTGTGATATATTGTTTCAAGTAAACATTGTAAGTAAGGCTATGCAGTCTGAAACTATGGATTTACCAAACGCTTAAAAATTGCTGAAGAACTGCTCTGAATTTGTAAAAGAGTACCGGGGTTATTTTCTTCTCTGATAAGAGCTAGGGATATTACTTCTCAGGCTGGGATAGATCGTAAATTTAAGCCAGTCCAATCCCGAAGAAAGAAGAGATTAATTGAATACGAAGCCGTAGATGAAACATCAACAGATCATGAAGAATTGTTTAAAATGAACGTCTTTTACCCTATGATCGATACAATTGAGAATACGTTCATCACTCGATTTACACAACTATCCAAATTTAATGATCCTTTTTATACAATTTCAAAACAATTCCTGAAAAGTCCGAATTGGAAAAAGCCTGTGCAGATTTAGAAATAAGTTTAACTGATGGGGAAAAATGTGACATATCTGATTGTGAATTAGTTGAGAAACTTTTACACCTGAATCCATTGTTGAAAGTGCTTGAATTATCAGAACCAAAAAAAGTTGTTCAACTTATTAAACAAAATGGTTGGCAGGATATATTCCCGAATGTGTGGACAGCACTTCAAATTTTGCTGACCATATCTATAGCTGTCGATAAAGGAGAACAAAGTTTCAGTAAATTAAAACTCATTTATGTTCAACCATGTGTCAGGATAGACTGTCAGATCTAGCAATTTTATCTATAGAAAATAGCCCAGAATTTGAATTATTCTGAATTAATGAAAAAATTTGCAACCGTAAAAGCAAGGAAGGTGGCAATCTAGGCTTTTTAGTTCATTTTTCATTTCTTAATTTGTTTCAATTTTAAATTAATTTACATTACATCGTAAATTAATTTGACATTTGCATGATGTGAGCATTGTCTGTGCCATAGTTTAAATAAACCTTTTCAAACAAATATTGTTTCTTTTTACTGTTATTATTTCTCATCCTTACTACTACTATGCTTATCTTCCAGAGGTCTGAGTTATTAATAATGTAAAAAATGTATGTTATCTTTAGTCTCTATGTATTTTGTAAGTGTTTGGTACAATTATGGTTATGTATTGTATGTGAATTTGTTTTATTTCTCAATGAATATAATGTCTGATTTGTTGTGATGAATTATTTTGTCTGTGATTATAACTATGATAATATGTTTTGTGTTGTCTCCTATGACCTTTTGAGGTGTGTATTTATAGTATGGATTCTGGGTATGTAGAAGGGTTTTTGTTTATGTGAAAGTTTTTGAATATATTTGCTATTTAAGTAGTGTTTCTTTAACAGCTTGTAACTAGGGTTGCCACCTATTTAAAATCGCTAACCCGGACGGCAGGTGAGGTTTGTTCGAACAGAAGTTCCTGACGCATGCGTATATCATTTTGCAATGCGAAGAATAATTTGCAGTGCTTGCTGGTTCTAAATCAGTTACAGTTAGCGACTAGGGAGACTTGGATTGGAGTAACGCAAGTGACCTATCTCTATTGGATATTGGAGGTGTATATGATTAAGAATGAACAGTACAAGCAAAGAAGAAAAAAAAAAAAAGGTTGGCAGGTTACACACGATATCCCCGGATGGCGAGTCGGATGGTAACACTATTCTGTGCTCATTTCAATCGGACTCCCCTGCCGCCCCCTACGCTATGCTACTGTCTTTAAGTCAACAACTACCACACTAGTAATTCAGTACATGGGGGAATAAATGTATGCTACGGTTTGCATATAATTTTGTACATATTCATTTCAACTTGCACAACCTGGAGAAATATTAATTAACCCCGGAGCCCGGAGATAACTCACTCAATCCCAGGTCTCCGGGTCAAACCCAGACAGGTGGCAACCCTACTTGTAATCCATATGACAAGTATATAGTTTCGTGCATGACGTGGCATTTCCTGTAAGTTTTGTCTGGTTTGTTGATTTTTAAAATATTCTTTCTGCAGTTTCTTCATTTCTTGTATTCATGACTTGGTTTTGTGTAGCAATCACAAACCCTTCTGTCTCTCCAATGAGGCATCTGTGAGTGAGTCAGCCAGCAGTTTGATGCAGTTCTATCGTGATCCTGGCTGAAATTGTCTTATTATTACATGGGGTGATCCAGAAGTCCTTCAAAATTGCAGCCATTTGTGGTGCCAAGAATATAATTTTTTTATGCAATGGTGAACTGAGTTTTTTCCCTTTAATTTGGCAAATTTTTTGGTTTTGCTTATTTATAAAGGTATTTATTATTAATATGTATTTATTTACATGCATATTACATGCACAGCAGCATGTAATATACACGACACAGTAGTGTGAATAGCTATGTTGAAGTCTTCCGGATCACCCAGTACATTCATCTTTAAACACTAGCTTTTAACAGATAAAAGTTAAGACTGATTTCCTATTGCAAAACAAATTTTAATACAGTATTTAACATAAAGCAATTTAAGAATTTATTTATTTAAAAAGGAATTAAAGTTCGTTGAATAGAGCAAAGATTGTTAAAAATTCTCTTTTTTATTGTGTTTTTGAAATCAAAATACTAATTAAGCATTAATTAAAATATAATTTTTAAAAATATAACATCTGACATTTTGATACATTTTATTAAAAATATTTTTTTTCTTTTTTTCACATATTTTATTTCATTAAAAATAAAAAAAAAAATTACACAACAAATAGTATTTGAATTTTCTGTTTACACAAGAGTTGCACTGTTTACATACATCTAGATATCAGTATAACTCTCTAGAGACATCAACAGAACTGTTGACATTCAGTAGTTCTATTGATTAGCTCTCGTTCAGATTAATATAAGAAATATTTTAAAATTAGTTAATTATTAATTAAAATATCCAACAAAATACAATATTTAATTACTATTTTCTGTGACTGTTTCATCCGTAATCATACAATAATTTTTTAAAAAAATTGCATTTATAGATTTATGAAATGAGAATATATGAATGATTGAAAATAGAGGAAAGAAAAAAACATGGAATGCTACATAGTCATTAAGGATGATTGAGAACAGATAATCAAGGTCATCTTTTACTTCGGTTTATTTCTCGAATACTCTTTTCTACTTCAAATTGACGTAAATCGACTCTTTGAAGGAATGCCTGTCTTTCCAAATAGCTATTCCAATAAATAATATATTTAAAATGTACAAATTTGATTTAATTAAATTTATAAAATATTAAAAGCAGCTTACCCATCTTTTCCTTTATTATGTAACTTTATTTCATCATCAATATTTTCATCCTTTTTAAAATTTTCCCAATCTAATCGAGATTTATCCTGAAATATAACATTTCAAATGCATAAAAAAAAAATATAAATAAATAAATGCTATCATTTCGTATTTTAAATTACTCATAAATTAAGCCATTTATTGAAAAAGTCTTTGGGATGCAAATGTAAGTAAATTAATTCATTTTGATTAATTTTAATACAATGGTTAGTTCTAAATTTTACAATTGTTAAATATATAAATTTTAATTTCTTTGCTAAAATTCAAATGACTGATAAAATATTCTAGAGTTTGAAATACAAATATTTAAAAATCAAATTGGAGCATTCTGCAACATACTGTAATGGTTTGAAAATATCATCAAGTTTTAGAATTTTTTTTCGGCAAAGTTTTTTTATTACTGTCTAACATTTACAATTTCTGATGTCATCATCAGACCAAATTGAAAAATAAAAATAACTGTTTGATTTGAGATTTTATTTTAATATAAAAAATGTATTAAAATAAAACTTTTGTATGTTGAAAGTTTTAACTTAAAATGTTATCTAAAATTACTTGATAAACTTTAAGAAAAAATTATACATGTTTAAATAACAAAAATAGTAATATATATATATAATAAATAATAAATAAATA